ACATTTTTTTCAGAGGAATGCATGTTCATTATTTATAATAAAGGTTTATATTTAAAAAATGGATGGCCCTCGGCCTATCTTCCCTATCCTTCAGTTTAGGCATTCAAAAGCAATCATTTTCAGATCCTTTGTCTGTTTCTTCTCGTGTTTACTTTCAAATTTCAATGATATATGCTACGGTTACTTTTATTGCTCCATTTTAGACCTTCTCTTTGACTTTCTGTTATGGTAGATGAGGACTCAGCTGTGAGTGCTCCTCACTTTTGCTCTTGAGGTAGCCATATCATCGTGTCTTTGGTTCTAGAGCTTGGTGCTTAATTCTTTAACTACAGAACCCTCAGGGTCCCGACTGCTGAGGGACACTAGTCAAGGTTGATTTAAGCATTCAACTCTCAGGAATTTAGTAACAAGCCCTTTTTTCCAGCCCTACCGTGATCGTTAGGAGACAAACAGCTTTCTTTTAAACATTTGAGGCCAAAAAGTTTGAATATACCCTCCTTTACTGCACAAGGAAACTATTATATACCTTTTTGAAAGATAACTCTCTTCAAGCTTTTATTTTTAGATACGCCCCACCATTCTGAAGGGAGCTACAGTCCCTGAAAGTGATTTACTTTTTCTGGTATCAGCCTCCAGTTATTCTGTGACTATCATTACTCTTTGGGTTGGGGTGACCTCCAGTGATCCCCAGGAGAAAATCTGGCACACTAGTGGCTAGAGAAAAAGAAACGAGAAAAATCAAAACACAAAAGTTCACAAGTATCTTTTATAGCTGGGCCTCTTACCACAATGGCATATGACTTTCCTGGGTGATTTTTAAAAGGGAGCTCCTTATTTAAAGCTGCAGGTTCAGACAGATGTGTTTAGAAACTAGTTTTACTGCTTTATAGAAATGCCTCCACTTTTCCACACAGGCATATACAAGTGCAGAGCTGGGCAACCATCAATTAAATGATGAAGTAAAAAATTCAGCACGTTCAGAATTGAGAAACCTGTATGGGTTTGACTTCGAATATATCTCTCTTCAGTGATGAGCTTGGATTTTTTACTTTGATTGGACCAGAGCTTTGCCTCCTCTTCTCTTCCAGAACATTTTCTTCTTAACAATGTAAAGCTACATGTCATATTCTGAGTACATGGCCCTGGATTTCCTTAGGATTATGGCTAATAGCTCTAGGACACCCAGATCAGCAGTGAGACCAATGGCTTCTGACTTAGTGATTTCTGACTGGTCCTACTTTCTCACGAATTGTTAATTCAGATCTCAATACCTTAATCTTCCCCATTAGGGGAGTTAATTTGAATGAGGCCAATTCTCCCTTTTATGGCAGAGAACATATATTTCTCTTTTGCAAAATATGGCAGGTGAGAGCATAATGCAAAATCTCACCTCCTTCCCCCTTTTTCTCACGTCCGCTGTACGCCTTCACCTTCCAATAGCAAGAGCTTCTCAGTGGCCCCCTCTTGGATGCCCGATATGGTGATGTTTTTCTGAGTCCTTTCAGGCAGAGTTAGTTCCATTCTTTTTGTTTCCTTAACATCTTGTCCATATCTCTGTAATGGCTCTTTTTAATATCACACTGTGATTTATTTTTCTCTGACTTCTCTATCCACTAGCAGGAAAGGACTTAAATGATTATATGTTCACTGTACCTAACTCAGTGTCTGAGTAAAAAAAAAAAATAGACTCAGTAAGCATTTGTTGAAAAAATAAATGAAGCAATTCTAAGATGCAGGCATTGGGAACATTCTGTGATTTATGCTGTGTGTTTTTTTTTTCCCCCCTGGGACCCAGCAATATATTGTACTTGAGGAGGGTAACTATCTGTGACTAAAAATATAGACTACCAAAGAACTCAGCCAAAGTGTTCAGGTTTGTTCTTGAGGAATATTGTTCTTCTACAGAACAAGGTCTTTTTTCAGCATTTCAGAAATTGGGAGAACAGAGTAATTGTCTGGGTGTCTTTTCCTTTCCCACCAGGCGACGTAAGAAAAATGCTTTTCTTTGTATTGCCAATGACATTCATCAGAGACCAGCGTGACATGTCTTTTCCAAATTTGCCCTTGGCAACTGAGTCAAGATTTTCCTTGGAGACAAGGCAAAATGAAACAACCTGACAGATAAGGCATGCTATAGATAATAAGAGATTTTCCAAATAGCCTCTAAAATTAGAAGGATTACATCAGCCATCCAGCTTGAAAACTAATTAGTATCAAAAAGTAAATTTGTGTAAGTAAAACGGCAGGTAGAAACTGGAATCAGAGGCACCTGACACACTGTATATGTGAATTACTAGATTTTAGATTCTTTGCAACTAATGTTGGTTTTATTGTTAGTTTCTTAGGGTTGTCGTAGCAAGTTACTACAAACTTGGTGGCTTAAAATAACAGGAACTTATTCTCTGATAGTTCTGAAGTTTAGAAGCGCAAATTTGGTTCCTTCTGGAAGCCCATAAGGAGCATCTGTTTCCCTGTCTCTCTCCTAGCTTTTGGCGGCTGCTGGCAGTCTTGGTTTCTTGCCTGGTAGACTCACCCCTCTGAGCTCTGCTACACATTTACATCACCTTCTTTGCTGGATGCAGGTCTAAAATCTCTTCTTTTCTTCTAAGAACACTAGCCATTGAATGTAGGGCCCTCTTTAAATCTGGGATGATCCCATCTGAAAATCCTTTTCATTACCTCTGCAAAGACCCTATACTGAAATAAGGTTACATTCACAGGTACCAAGATTAGAACTTGGGCATACCTTTTTGAGGAATACAATTCAGTCCCCCTATACCACCCATGGATTTATAAAATTTCTGCATTATTTGCAAGACATGTTAGATTTTGTATATATTAAGGATGTGATTACAGAAGCAAAATAGAGTGAAAAGTGGAGGTAATAGGAAAATTCCAGGAAATAGCCAATCTTGATTCAAGGGGCTGAATATTTTAGGTAAAACATATTTTATTTTGAAAATTTGTATGATGTTCTGAATAGTTTTTAGCCTTAAGAGATATAAGTTGAGAAAAAGCAATAGCTATGAGGAGAAGGAACTTATCATTTGAGAACATAGAGGCAAGGCTTGGCAGTTTCAAAAATATTCTGAAGGTTCGATGACTTGTGAAAATGGCTCATAATACTGCAAAATTGCCACGAATCTCTTTTTAACATTTCTTACTATCTAGAATTTGTGCTTTAATTTGTAATCCTACAATTTAAGATATTAATTGGAGCTGGTTAGTTAATAATTATTGAACACTTAGATGTTCAATTATGAAAGACTCAGACATAATTTGATCTTTACTAACTTCCTTCGGTCAGTGGTATTTACATGATGGAATAAGGTTTTCATTGCTTTAGACTCGGCTTCTTTTAACAATTTAGCCTATGAAGGATCAGTATAGTGACTTTTCAATAGCAATAAAAAATCTGATGTAAATTTTCTTTTATTTCTTGTTTTTAGACAGAGTCTCACTTTGTCGCCCAGGCCAGCTAATTTTTATATTTTTAGTAGAAACAAGGTTTTGCAATGTATATTTTCTTAAGTGTAGCACTTTGTGATACTTCTTTCATACAATGGAGTGTTTCATACAAAACACTCCTTCCTTCATTACGAAATAAATACAACAAATATGTTTAACAAAACTCATAGTTGAGTTCTTAAGACTAAAGAATAGTTGCTAAGAAAACTTTACAATGATGAGTCATTGTTTGAATTGATTTGTTATGAAAGTGGTGAATAAGAAACCTTATAAAGTATTAAAGATGAATGTAGTAAAGAGATCATATGGAGCAGTTTTGGCCCTTTTTATTAGCTATCGTATGTAATATTTACTGCGTTGTAAAGAAATCATTGATGCATTTGATGTTAGGTTTCTTAACTCATTTGGCCAATTCTGGATCAGAAAAGATGAGAAAAAGCAAGATTGGAGAAAGTGGAGTTAAAACAAATGTTGTTGAGAAAGAAAGTGGGATCATTGCCGTGAGTGTAATGAGTTATCAGAAAGATGAAGCTGAGTGTGAGTTTAGCATGGATCATTGAATTGATTGATCATTGGTTAGATGAATTAAAAGTATAAATACTCTATCTTCCTACTGCTTTCTTTTTCTTCTCCAGCTTTTAACGTGTTCTAAAAAGGGTTTATATTAATTATTGAAAGCAATATTTATATGATTGTATTAATATTGAGAGCAAGTTTATGTGGCTGCATGAAAAATTATAATAATATGGATAAACAATATGGTAAGATTCAATTTTGGCAGAAAGGATGAAAACTCCTTACATTTAAATGTCTCGTTTAGAGAGGAGGAGACAGTGAGAAAACAGTCTACCACACTGTGAGGGGTTGGAGGAAGGAACACGGGAGTAAGGAACATTGCAAGAGGTTGGGGTGAGGAAGATGTATCTACCTGGGAATCTTCTGCAGGTGAGGAGAGAGATGCACCATGAGGGGTTGCAAAAGCTGTCTTTGGATTCCCAACTGTGCTTTTTCTTCTTTAAACAAAAAAAGTCAAAAAAATAAAAAAACAAAAACAAAAACAAGTCCAAATAACTTCTCATTAGGCTTCCAAGGAAGAGATGCAATTTTTTTTTCAAAAAAGGATTTGCTGATTAAAAAGTAGAAAAAAGAGAACACATTCTTTTTTTTTTCTTGAGTTATATAGAGTTTTATTTTCGCAAATATAGTGAATGACAGATGGTAATTACAGGAAGCTATTTGAACAAAGGTGGATATGAGCATAAACAATTTCAACTAGATAAAATATTGATGTAATAACCAAACCATATGGCCCCATTTCATAAAGGGTACTATATTCTATAGACTAGAGAGTGAAGAGCTGGCCTTTCTACCCCAGCGTACTCTACTCTTGTTATTGTTCAATTTCTACTGAAGCTTGTATAACTAGCTGCCAACAGGTAAACGCTATTGCCTAGCAGAAGACTGCAGTTCTGTTCATACTAGAACCAGCAGGGGTCACTTGACTTTAAAAATCTAGGACCAGAATCTTAGGATGGGTCTCATTAGAAAACTGAGTTGTATAGGGACTTAAGCAAAAAGGATTCCAAAGAATTTGAGCTTTAAGGTGATAATGTCTTTTTAGAGATTATAGCACATGAAGAACCCATGGACACAACATAGAATATGAACAGTTAGCAGAAAAAGATCTCATGACTAAAGTGGGGAAGAAAGCAAAAAAAAAAAAAATTTACAAAAGGAAAAATAGTTGAAAATACAGGAATATTTACAAGATGTTAAAAAATTACTAATCTTCGGCCAAAATGAGGCCCCTTCGCACTCCCAAAACCTTTGCTTTCTTCTCCTTTCGTTCTTGCTCATGTTTCTTCCGTTGCTCTTCCTTTGTCTGGAGACGGGGTTGTTTGTAAGTTTTCTTGTGGAAATTAATTCTGTTGACATGTCCATTCAGATAATTATTTTCTTTAGATTGCCCCCATGGTTTTAGCTTTCCTTTGTGTGGTTCATAGCTGAGGGGATGAGACAAACTTGCTGTAAGATCAAACACTGGTTTCTTATTCGAGACTGGAGTCTGCATTGCCTCAGTTGTCAACTTGAATGGGGTAATAACAGCAGAATTCTTCTTGGTGGTCTTTATTTTGTGTGTCCCAAATATAGCCTTGCTTTTTGGGGTATTCCCAGACATGGTCACATGTACAGACCTTCTGGCTGGAGTCTTGTTCAGTGAACGCTTATGCTCATTATCTTTAGTAGCAGTTGAAAACCTGACACGTGTTTTAGCTGCAGAGTTAGCAGAGCACTTGAGTGACCCCTTCAGACCCAAGGTACTCTGACATGCAGGGCCGTGAGACTGGCCTTGAGAGCGTCATTGGCTCATGGGTGTAGAAGCCACAGAGAGTCTTCCTTTTGGCAGTACCGGAGTCATGACTCCTCCCTTATTGATGGGCTGCTTCAGTTCACTGATGGAATTGTATTCTTCAAAATGTTTCTTTTTTCTCTTAATATATTGATCAATGGACTCCATTTCCTTAAAATGAGCTTCCTGAAGCTTCTTAAAGTTTGGAGTAGTCCTTGCAGTTCTTTTATTTTTTCCAGGTTTGGTTAACTCATTTGTGTAGAGAGATTCTTTCTGAAGGTATCTTTGAATCTTTGTTACCATTTATTCCACGTTTTCCGGAGGAAACGCCATTCTTAGCTCCTTGGTGCTCATCTGGAGAATAAACTTTTTCAGTAGCTCTAAAATCCTGCCTTTCCTGCTTTTCATGATTCTGAAATTCAGTGTGATCACTTATTTTTATCTCTGAATGATCCTGCTGGGAGTCAGGGTCCACACGGACAGTCTTGTGCCTTCTCCTTGTTTGGTGACATGGCCAGTTGGCTCTCTCTCTCGGCTTGTTCCTGCCTGCTGCTCTGTATCTCAGTCTCATCACAAGAGGATGCAGAAGTTTGACTTTCATCCTGATTCTCATTTCCTTTTCTTGCTCAGGATTAATGTGGCCTTTCAAGGCTTTTAACAACTTGTCTGCCCTCAGGTTGGCCTGGAGACCCAGACTCTTGGCTAAGTTCTGCAGGTCGCTGTACTTGAGGGAGTCCAGCTCCTCTAGGGAGGGGAGGACCATCGCGATTCGAAATTCCGGCGATACGCAGAAGACGGATCACACAACTCTGGTAGCGTGGTTGAAATCCCTGGCTCCACTCGAGAACATATTCTTTATTGTTACCATGGTGATTTGTTAAAATAGAAATTAGCAAGCCCTAACTTAGGCGAGGGGCGGGGGGAGTTGAAAGAATTCAGGGCTTGTGGTCCAGCCCCAAAACCATATCTATGGATTCAGTGGGTGACTGCTGTACACCAGCACACTTTTCTGAGCCTCTGTTACAGCCTGGTAAAATTAGAGGAATGGTACTGATGACTCTCATAGTGTGTGGCTAAATAAAAATACGAATTGATTCAAAGCTGTGGGTTGAACTGATATTTAGGCAGGATGTTGATCTCATTACAGTCACTAATTTTAAAGTTACGTTCACCTTTTCACAGATATCATTTATTGTTTATAATAGTGCCTATGTAAGATAGGATGTTGTTCAAAATTCGTCACCATTGCCAGGAAAACTGCTAAAATTTTATGGCTCTCTCATTTAAGAAATGGTCGATGTATTTGACTACTTAATAAAATTGCATGGCAGCCTGCCATAAATGATGTAAAAGAAAAACCGCACATTGTAAAGAAAATGTTTGTGCCTTATGGCTTATATTAAAGAAAAGAGCTATTGTTTCTAATATATAAAAAAAGTTACTAAAAATGAGAAAGACAAAGACCAATAGTGATAGAGAAATGGGCAAAAGATATGCTAGTCAGTTCATGAGAAGAGTCAAAAATTCAGTTTAAGGCTGTTGAAAGTTATTTAAAGAAGCCCAAACTTACTTTAGTAGAAGAGATGTAAATTAAAACTATATTGAGATACTATTTCTCACCTATAATATTGGCAATAATCTAAATGTTTGGTAGCATATTCTGTTCACAAGGCTGTTATGAAATAGACAAACTCAAATAGTGCCAGTGGAAATTAAAAATTGTTATATTCACATATGAAAAGCAATTTGATAAAGCTCTTTCAATTACAATATTCATTTGTTCTTTGAGTCAACATTCCCGCTTCTAGGACTATAATTTATGAACACACTTGCATAAGTAAAAACAACATTAGCAAAAGGTTACTCATTGTTTTATCTGTGTATATAATATGTGTGATATACTAAAGAATCATGTATACATATAATTACAGATATAAACATACATAAACACAAATACTATGTGTAATATATTTCTATGTGTAATAACAGCAAAGAAAAAACCCTAAATCCAAATGATGTGATATATCTCACAATGGAATACCTGTAGACATAAAAAGAAATGAGGAAAATCTTCCATATCCTAAAGTGGTGTGATTTCCAAGATATATTAAATGAATAAAGCAAGGTGCAAAATGAATAGTATGTATGACAACTTTTGCGCAGGAAAGGGGGAGAAAAGCAAATATTATGTGTATATTTGCTTATATTTGCAAAGGGAAATTCTGAAAGGGTAAATGAAAAACTAACAAAAATGGCATATAAGGGAGGGAGGGAATAAGGTAAATAAGACTTACCTGAACATATTTTGTTATACAGCTTCAACTTCAGAATTGTGTAAGTGAGGTACAAAAATACAACATAAAAATTAAAGCAGCACTTAAAAATGGAAATATGCTAAAAGTGAATGTCTAACTGTGTTTTAAGTTAGAGAAAAATCACTCAAGGCAAAGGATTATTTCAAGTGACTTCAGAACTTATTTGGATCATATATCCAATGTATACTCTATAGAAATACATGTTCTAAGTTCACATATTTTAAAGACATATAGCGATACAAAGAATTCCAAAACTTCATTCAAATTCAGTTAGTAGTAATATTGGTAAAATTATTTTAAAATATCATATATACCTTGTGAAATATAACACAAAAAGTATTTATGTTAATATTACTAGAAACTGAGATATTTGGTGTAGACAAAAAAAAAAAAAAAAA